GGGTGTGGGTGAGGGTGAGGGTGTGGGTGAGGGTGAGGGTGTGGGTGTGGGTGAGGGTGAGGGTGTGGGTGAGGGTGTGGGTGTGGGGGACTGTATGGATGTGGGTATGGCTAAATATAGATGAATGTTTATATTTGCACTGATACTCACACCCACTCTCAAACGTCTTTCTTAATTTTTACCACTAAGTTGTTTCGAACACCCAAAATCTTATCATTTTCATATTTCGACTTTTTTTCTTCGATATTTTTATCCTTCGATATTGTTATACTTCGACATTTTTCACTTCGACATTTTTATACTTCGGCATTTTTTACTTCGATATTTTTATATTTCGACATCTTTATACTTCGACATTTTATTTTCGACATTTTTCGTTCGATCTTTTTATACTTCGACATTTTTACTGTCGACCAAAGTTGGGAGAATCAAAATTCCTGATTGAATTCAATAATTTTGTTGAATACTACCTACTTGATCGGCATTAAAACAACAAATACCAACGTTGATATTGATGCAATGAAGACATTGAAATGGTACTCTTTTGATCAGTAAAAAAAAGAGGCGTTCGATACATGATGTGTCATCCATTAGCTGTCGATAAATTAAAATGCTCAGAAGATTTTGTAATTACCGATTTTTGAAGAAGTCTATGTGTAAACATGTTGTGGGTGTTGCAATCAGGTTAAACTACTGTAAGCCACCATCTGCTGCTAAGAGAATTATAATTAGTGAAGAACGATATCATGGTAGGCCACCAAACACCAAGACAGCACTATTGATTCAATGATTATGTATTACTTATCAATGTAATATTTTACTAAAACAAATAAAGATATACTGAACAAGAAAATTACTTACTCAGCGAAAAATAATTAAATATTGAGTTCTCTAGAATTGATTACTGTGCAATTCGATTTATATATTATGCAGAAAATAATATTTCACTGAGCAAAACATACTGAACATAAGATGGAAAAATACTGAGCATTCTCAATCAAATAGTGTGCAAAAATATATGCCTTTTTTAAATTAAAATTTAATAGTAATAAGAAAGATAACGATACTACGCATACGTTAAAATCAGAATAAACAGTAGTTCTTCCATATTAAGTAACACAGTGCAAGTATTTCATTTATTTTTATTTAATCTTGTTTATGATGTTTCACAAATAATAATACTGAAATTTATTAGATTTTTAATAAGAATGAAAAATAACTAACAAAAAAGAATAAGATAAATTAGAAGAATCAAACTAAGATAATTATTGTCTGTTCAAAAAACGTATATATTGATGATTTCAGAATAATACATTTAAAAGGAAACAATAACTAAAATAAACTGAAAATTTTCTTTCTTTTTTTGTAAGTTAATTGATCGCTAAACTACCGTATTTATTATCCTCGTTATTTATTATTTTTAATAGACTCGCTACATAGTTGCACATGTTGATAATTTGCTTTTCATTAAATATCCAAGAGAAATGGCTATCGCCATAAATTTGAAATAACTGGATATATTCAGAATTCACTAGTGTGTCAAGATTATTAAATGATGTATTGGTGTAGTATGAATATAATTCTAAGTCATCGTTCAATGGAAAGTTTTCGTCCATCTTGTTAGCTTTAAATAATACAATGTTTGTATTTCTGTTCGTTATATTTAATCCAAATGGCTCGTTGTCTATCATCGGTAAATAGGAATAGTTTATTAAACCGAGAATATCCACTTTATCTATTTTGCCGATTTCAAAAGAAGCCTTGCTTGCATTAAAGTATGAATCGATCATAAAAATATTATCAACTTTCTCGCCAACATTAATCAATTGGCGAGAAAGTTCAAACGATAAAATACCACCAAAACTCCAGCCTAGAAAGTTATATGGACCATCATGTTGAATTTCTTTTATATACTTAATGTATACAGGAGCTAATGTCTCGAACGAGAAGCCTTTTTCCATATTTTTTGCTTTAAGATCAAGATAGTAATTGTTGAATATTACTAGTTTATATTGCGATAAATGAGGCACAATGTTGTTGAAGTAGCTTTCGGCACCACCGTCACCAGGCGGTAAAATGAACAAAATATTATCACAAATTTCATTGATCACAACAAACGGATGCTCGAAAAAATTTGAAAAGGTTGCAATTTCATGTGAAATTTGAACTTGTTCATCGAGAATGATGCCCTTCTGAGTAAAAGAAGTAATGTCTATAAGAGAAACCAGTGGGTTTATATATTTGATGCATGTTTCTTAATTTAAAGATGTTTTACCTTGATTGATATGTAGTGTGTGCAATTGTGTTGTCTGCGTATCATTGGATGGAAGTGTTTGAAGTAGTTGTGCATGTTGTCGAATAGTTGGTTGCTGAAGAAAGAGACCAATCGAGAGTGAATGAGCATCGAAATTGAATAATGACTGGTAACGATGATAGAGTTCGATGAAGCGAAGTGAATGACCACCAACACTAAAAAAACTGGTAGTTCCAGAAATGTGATGTTCATTAGAATGAAGAACTTGACACCAAATAGTGTGTATACGTTCTTCGAACTGATTAAGAGGAGTATCAGATTTATCGGACGATAACGAAGTTGATAAAGAAAATTGGGGTGAAGGAAGTTGTTTTCTGTCTACTTTTCCATTTTGATTCAAAGGTAACTTATTAAGTATAATAAATATGGATGGTATCATATGTGGTGGAAGATGAGATTGACAATATGCACGCAACTCCTGTTCATTAATATCAAAACTTTGAACATATGCAACTAAATAATCATCTTTCCATTTCATGACAACACAACCAGATAGAGATGTAATGCTAAGTAAACATCGTTCGATTTCACCAAGTTCGATTCGTTGTCCATGTAATTTAATTTGAAAATCTTTTCGACCGTCACAATAGAGAAATCCATTATGAATCATTCTAACAAGATCACCTGTCCGATAGAATATCTCGTCATCGACTTCAATGAGTGCTCTCTGTGTCAAATCATCACGTCCAAGATAACCAGCGAAAACGCCTACACCTCCTATAAATAATTCACCTTCTTGATTAATCGTGACAAATTGTAAGAAATTATCCAAGAGCAAATATCGATAATTAGGCAATGGACGTCCTATTGGAATACTATCGATGTTGGCTGCCATGTTTACGGGATAAAAAGTACAAGCAACAGTAGTTTCTGTTAAACCATACCAATTCCAAAAAGTAAAATACTGTGTAGGATCTGTGAGGATTAAGTTGACTAACTTCATAGAACATGGCTCACCTAAAAAGTGAGAGAATATAATATAAGATTATATAGCTTGTATGATGGTTACTTACCAATAGTACAAAGTGATCTGATATATTTTACAACATGTAAATAATGATTCTGTTTAAGAAAAGTGAAAAAGTTGCCAAATAAACTTGGTACAGAGTGTATATAAGTAACTTGTTTGTTTCTCATAACTTCAGCAAGATAGTTCAGTTCAACAGTTCCTCTTGGATGAAGCATAATTATTGTAGCTCCAATTATCAATGAACCAATAATTTCTTGAACATGATTGTCAAATGAACATCTAGCCATTTGAATCACTGTATCATTATTAGTAAATGAATCAATGCACATTAAAGAATAGATACATTGAATAAAATTTCTATGTCGAACTCGAGCCTATAAACAAAAAGATCACGACATCATCTAAATATATGATTCTCTTTATAGGTAAATAATATATCAAAAAAATTTTAAAACGATTCGATCTCCTACAAAACAACTAATGAAACCAATAAAAAGTTAATCCTTTTCTCATACAACTCATTTATGTAATTTATTGTGTGTTAGCTGAATAGCAGATTCAATACTCACTCCTTTTGGCATTCCTGTTGAACCACTAGTAAATATAATGTAAGCTATGCTGTCGATAGTCACTTGAACAGATGATAATTGATCAATATCAACATTTTGAAAAAAATTATGGTTGACCAATATAGAATCAATGTTTAACATGGTAATAATATCGTTAAATTTGTTTTTTGTCAGATAATGGGAAAGAACAAGACGACTTTGTGTTTGTTGCAAAAGCATATGCAAACGATTTTCTGGATCTCGAAATGATAACGGAAAATATACACCACCAGCCATCTCAATTGCCATCATACCAATGATCTAATCAATATCATTATCTTAAATGAGATAAATATTTATTTAAACAGTTAACTTACCATGGATAGACTTCGTTCGACACATTGAGAGATAATTTCACTTGGAATGATACAATATTTATTAAGAAGAGTTAAAGATAAGACTTGTACATAATATAGAAGTTCACAGTATGTCAATGATTGCTCATCAAGTTCAACAGCTAGTTTTTGTGGATGTTTCATTGCTCGATATACAAATTCATGATGAATACAAGTGAGAGGAGGACATGAAAATGATGTTTGTGTATTATTCAATGATCGCATCAAGTATTGTTCATTTGATAATGTTAATGATATTTCATAGATAGGTTTCTTCATTTGATTATCAATCATAGATGCAGGTAATTGATGTAAGATGAAATGAAATTGTTGTGAAATCTTCTCCACTGTCTCTTTATTGAACAAGTCAAGTGATGCATTGATTGTGCATGATAGTTGATTCATGTTCAGATCATGATAAATAAAAAGAGAGAAGTCACATACACTTAGTATTTCATCTTCATTAATATTGAATGAGGAAGATCCTGGAACGAGTCGAGAATCACCAATCATCATTGTATTATTATTATTGTATGATATAAATTCCAAAGATGTATTCAGAAATGCATGTTTTGAAATATGTGGATGTTGATCGAGAATACGTTGAAGTGGAAAATATGAATATTTCATACTCTTTGTTGTTATCTCTCGAACATGTTCTAGTAATTTATGAAAAGACCACTGTGGATCTAATTGACATCGTAATGGGATGACATTCTCAAACAGTCCAATGATTGATTTGAGTTCATCTCTATATCGATTATTATTGATGTTTAGAGCCAGACATAGATCTGCTTGTCCATTAGTTAATTTAAACAGAAAGATGAAATAAATAGCAAATGTGAGATGTTCAAGTGATATGTTATTTGATGATGCATGAGTGAGAAAGTCATGTGAGAGATCTTGACCAAAATCAAACGAAATAGATGTTGTATGACCAGTTCGATGTTCATTTGAGAGACGATATCGATCAAATGGTAATGACAAAGGTTGATCAAGTTTACAATGATGAAGAGCATCAAGCCAAAACATACTTGTGCCAGTCATTGACATTTGTTGTTCAATAACAGCATCTATTATACAATTAAAGAAAAGAATGTATTAGGAAAGAGAGAAGTAGAAGAACTATTTATATTTACAATCGATGTAACGTAGATTAGTGTTATCATCATATAGTAATTGACCTGTTGCATATGCTTGATTGAGATCGTGAAGAAACACTTTCATTGATGGAACGTCAAATAGAGCATGATGAAAGTTGAAAATAAGTAGATCTTTGTCACAAAGATGATGATTTGAAGAGATTTGTTTGTAATAAATAATATGACATCGAAAGACAAGACCTTGAGCAAGATTAAAAAGATGAGGATTACGTTTCTCATCATGTAAAATTTCATTGAGTTGTTCATCTGTTTCATAAATAGTTTCGATGATTGAAAACACATTATTTTTATATTTATCTTCATGGGTAATAACTCGTTGCATAAGTCGATTCTTTTGGATGTCAAAATGAAGTGATGTATGAAGTGAGGGATGTTTGTTAACAGTGAGATGAAGAGCACGACGAAGTTGTTTAATAGATAAAGTATGATCTGATTGAAGACGATAAACAAAAGGCATATTATAGATTGCTGTTTGAGGTTTATCTGGATCGAATTGAATTCGTTCATCAAGCCATATGCGAGCTTGTGCAAATGATGCTGGTGCTATAACAACAAACACATTGAAATCGAACTAGGTTCACGAATGAATAGATGTTTCTTTAGAATTTATCTGACTCATTAATCAGTTGCTCTCTTTATTTAATTATATGATTCAATTGATATTAATGTTTTAAATATTCATATTCTCTAGTAGTCAATAGGATGAAAACTTCATATATGAATCTATGATAAGTTGTAAGTGTTGACTCTAACTATTTCTTATGTAAGTTCTTTGTATTTAGTATTAAGACAGATTTTCTACAGAATATGTAATGAGCGTTTTATTTACAAATTAGAAAAGTAAAAGGCTACATGAGGAGTTGCATTCTACGCTTTTTACTTTCCATGATTTGACAATGCTATATGGTAAAAATATTAACTAAAAATATATGTTAAATTGCAGACGAATCGTAAATATGATTGAAAGCTATAGTTTTTCAAGCATGATAAAATGGTAAATTTGATTTTTTGTAGCAGAAAGTCAAAGAAAAAAAAGAAAAAAATTATTTGTAAAAACTGAGATTTTCCCGAATTTTTATGCAATACTGCACTTTTGTATTCTAAAATAAAACATTTATTACATATTTTACAGAGAATTGCATAGTACATCGTTGGAAAAATAATCTGTATATTAACGCTGAATATTAAACAAAGTAATATTTAAAATACGATGGAATTAGAAATTAGTATACACTTTTTAAAATGTCTTAATAGCTCTTCACAATTAATTGCGTAATTCATAGTCTCTTCGTATATACAACTTTTCAAATAAAAGTTGTCTGAAAAATGTACCGTAGTTTAAGATAGCTAATTTTCTAAAGTATGCATACAAAATTAATTTTGAGACTGATAATAATTTCAAGTAAAATCTACTTTTAATTCATTCTCGTATTATCAAATAAAGTGAAAGAAAGGGAATCAATTAAATGTTAATGTTGTATTATAGACGTTAATTTTTACTTTCTCATCTGTGACACTTAATTTATCGAAACGTCGGATAGTTTTCTATTCACTATATTCATATACACATCATCATATATTTAAAAATATTTACTAAAAAATGGTTAGTTTTATTTAAAATTATGCATACAGACTCGCTTAAAAAGCGTCAAATTATAGTGTAAAGAAGTGATTTGCACTTGAGCAGTGTGTAATCTTAGTTAAAAAAGATAAGTTAGCGTCACTAAAATATACTGTTGCTTCAATTGATGTTTACAGAAACAGAGTTGATGATGCTATAATTAGATTATTATAAGATAACGAAATTGTCATTGATATTGGTATAACTCATTATTTTCTGAACTAAATCTGAGTTTTATTATGTCAAATAAATATTTCAAAAAAAATCTATCTACAACTACATAAAATAAACAATGATTCACCCAATTGTCATATTATTCTTAGCATTCTAGTCAAAAACAATCATGCCAAAAACTTATCACCTTTCTAATCACAATTCTTATGCTTATCATTATTACTAAACTTCATATATCTATACTATATATAATATTCTATCTGCAAAAACTTTTGAAAGGATTTGACAATGAAGATTAGTAAAATCTTTTCATCTTATATATTATTATTCTATATTGGATAACAGACTAACGTTATGATTTTTGAACTAACACAAGTCAATCAACACTTTCAATAAAAATAATCATATATAGGATAAATAGGAAAAATACATACCTTCATTCGTCAAAGTTGATTGACGGTAAAAAGCCACATGTTGCATTTCATTCACTTCATCTGGTAAGATAAGAGTAAGTTTGGCAATAGATGAAACTACTAAATCAGTCTGATTAACGTTGAAATTCATTGAAAAAAGTTGTTCAAATAGATATTCAAATCTTTCTTTTATTTTTGTAACTGTCGTATCTTCAAATAGATCACGTGAACAAATAAAATCACATGACAATATGTCGTCACCCAAGATTGGATCGTAATAAAATGTCAACGTAAAATCAAATTTAGGCAAATCCGGAACCTCTGTTAATGATACTGGCTGTAAACTAACATCATCGAGAGTAAACTGGTCGCTAGCTGAAGATTCAGTAATGAAATCAAAAACTGTTTGAAGAAAAGGAACATTTGATTGATTGAGATGAAAATCACGAAGAATAAGCTGAAGTGGATAATGAGAATGTTCAAGAATTGATAAACATTTTTCTCGTACATGTTTAGTAATTCCATCAAATGACCAAAAAGAATCAAGTTTTATACAATATGGTAATGTTGAAGTAAACATTCCTATCATAGTCTGTAATTCAGATCTGTATCGGTTAGCATTAAGACATGAAATACATAAATCAGTTTGACCATATGTTAACTTGAATAAAAATGTATAGAATGTGGCCAATCCGAGTTGAAATAGTGTCAAATGATGCAAAGAAGCATAATTAAGAAATGATGAGGACATTTTCCTGTCGAAAGTGATTTGCGCTATAGAAGCGGAACCAGATCGTCGATTATTAGATACACAATGCTGATCGATTGGTAATGACAATTGACGTTTCAAATTATATCCTTCGAGTTGTAAACGCCAAAACTCATATGACACCGTCATATCGATGAGACGTTCATGGATAGCATAATCAATATATTGTAATGATTTTTCATTATCTAACCAAGTCACGTGACTATTGTAGGCATTCCATAGATCATTGAAAAAAATTGGGAAAGTTGAATGGTCAATTGCAATATGATGAAAGCCGATAACGAGAACATCAGAATTTGTAATTATTTCTTTATCATAATTTTTATCAGGCGTCATTTGCTGTCTGAGAATTTGACAATAAAAAACACGACCAGTTGATAGATCAAAAAGTGTAGGATTGATGGTCATTTGATGAATAATGTTGTGAAGTTCATTTTCACTTTTGAATGTTTGATCGGCAGCCAATGTAAATTTCAAATGTTTATCGGTGATAGATTGTTTTAAAATACTATCCTCATCATTGAAAACTAGAGAAGTTCTTAATATCTTATGTTTACTTAGGACATAGCGAAGAGCTTGCAATAAACGATTCACTGATAAGAAGCCTTTCTTAATTCTTTGAATTAGCAGCTCATTGTAAATGGCATTTTGGTTAGAGAAACGAACTTGTACATCAAGAAATATGCGTTCTTGTGCATATGACGCGATACCTACAAATTTGGGAAATAATATTTTTAGCTATTAAAAAAGTGAATTAAAACTATCTTACCTTCGTTAATATGCAGCGTATGCCATTGTTTTAGTTGTGTACCATCGATGATGATTGTTTCAAGTAATTTTGCGTGTTCTACTATGGTGTTATATTCAAAGAATGGTCGAATACTCAGTGCTTCTGTTTCAAAATTAAATTTTGATTGATAATATTGATAGATCTGAACAAGTAGAAGAGAATTGCCGCCGACGCTGAAGAAACTAGTTGTAGTAGATATAAGAAAAGACGTTTCTCTGTCTCTACCAGAGACGTTTGCAATGGATGGCAGCTTATTCGATTCCAGATCATCATGTTGTATAATAAGTCGATTTGTGTATAATATTTCTTGCCAAAAAGTTGCAATCGTCTTTTCTAATTCAGTATTTGGTGCATTATAGATATCTTCTTCCTGAAGCACTGACAGTGATACTTCCCGTAAGGCTCTCCGATCGATTTTACCATTTGAACTTAACGGAAACGATGAAACACTTATAAAATGTAACGGTACCATATACATTGGAAGCTTTCTCCTTAAATATATTCGTAATGTTTCACTCCAGTGTGGCATTGATTTTATTTTTGAAATAGTTCGTTCACTTTTTTGTTTATTACTAATCTTTCCAATAAGTAATGTATGTAATATGCTACTTCCATTCATTTTCTCATGAATAAGAAGAGTATCTAATACATCATTAATTTGTTTTGGAAGACTCGTGCGAGTACCAATTGGACACATACCAATATTCATTTCTAAACAATGATCCATTAATAAATATGACATCTTTCCTATATTCATTGTGCATTCTGATCGTCCGATGAAGAAGATTGCACATTGGCAATCATGGAATATAATCTTTGTGTCATCGTCATCATCATCAAAGAACAGTGGTATTTCCTCTTGCTTAGTTTCAGTTTCGACATCAAAAGATGTAACAGTCTCATTTTCTTCATTATAACTAAGCCATTGATCTTTGTTATCGTGGACTGATTTTAGATAAACAATACATTGATAATTGCCATTTTGTACATTATTAGAAGTATTTTGTTCAGATGATGAAAGTTGGAAACAACAATGAGTATCATTCTCATCTATATTCAAAATTTCCCGAGTAATAGATTCGTTATGAATATTTTTTGAAAATGCCAGTCCCAGTTTTGACCCTTCTTTTTTCAATAATCCCATAACATATCCTGTTTCTAGCATACAAAATTGAGAGCCTAATATTTTACTATATAGCGGTGCAATTGCTGATGATCGTCCAACAAGATGTAATCTTATATTCATCATATCATTATTAATATGAGTACTAATTAACTCTAGAGTATGTTCATCTGGATTATGATAGTAAACACCAGGCAAAATATTATCTATAAATGTTGGCAATTCAACATATATCTGTACTGAATAAAGATCATCAATTGACGCATACTGATATTTTGGTAGAGGTTCATCAGAAATGTTAATTGGTGTTAATACTGCTAATAATTGACTAAGAATATCAAAGTGGAGGCCAGATAAAGATATTTTCGCATTATTATTGCTATTGTGGCAATTTTTTAACAACTTCTCGATAGTAGATCTTTCAATAGTTTCATTTGTAAATTGTCGATAGCTTTTTCTCATATAATATGTATTGATTAATGTTTCTGTAAGCTTTGGTTTTGTTAGAGCAAAGCTCTTTTCTACCTTCCTTTGATGTTTTATACTATGTCTTGCAAGCTTGAAATTGATACGTTCAATAGGATCGACGATTAACATTTCTGTTGAATCATATTCTTCGATATGAATAGAATGTTTTTTTGGCATAACATATCCTACTAGTCGTTGAGATGTATGATCAAGATTGACGATTGCTTGACGAATATCTGGATGTTGTTGTAACTGATATTCGATTTCTCCAAGTTCAAGTCGGTGACCATGTACTTTTACTTGAAAATCTTTTCGTCCAGTAAATTCAATATATCCATTTGGTAGAAATCGACCATAATCACCTGTTCGATACAAACGTTCTAAAGTGGTTGGATGAATAATAAAACTTGATTGTGTTTTTTCTTGATCATTCCAATAACCATTAGCTAAACCTTCACCACCAATATATAATTCACCAATAACCCATTCAGGACAATCATCAAGATGTGTATCATAAACATAATATTGTTGATTTCTTAATGGTATTCCATAAGGAATTGATTTCCATTCTTGTGGTATTTCTTTTGGTAGAGTATAGGCAGTTGACCAAATGGATGCTTCTGTTGCACCACCTAAACTAGTTATTGTTATTTGTTCACCAAATGTTGTTTGTATTGATTCAGGTAAAGATAATGGTATCCAATCACCACTCAATAAGATATGTCGTAGTTGATTATGATTATTCGTATGTTTGAGATGTTCAACAAACATTTGCATTAACATGGGAACACTATTCCAAATAGTGACTCGATGTTCGATCATCATATCATACCAATGTTGAGGATTTTTATAATCTTCATGATCTGGTAGAACAATAGTTCCACCAGCAATTAACATTCCAAATATATCATAAACTGATAAATCAAAATTCAAATGTGATAATGCAAATATTCTATCATTAGCTGAGATCTCTAATCTTGAATTCATATCTAAAATAGTATTTAGAACAGCTTGGTGACTAATCATAACACCTTTTGGTTTTCCAGTTGATCCAGATGTATAAATAACATAAGCTAAATCAGTTGGTGATTGTTGTTCCATAGGAAATGGAATTGGATAATTATCATCAGTTGTGCATGTATCAACTGAAATAGTTGTGAGATGTGGAAATGTATGTTTGGAGTGAGATTGTGTAAGAAGAATTGTGACATTAGTTTCTTCGATTATTGAACAAAGACGATCATATGGTGAATCAACATCCAAAGGTAAATAAGCACCACCTAACACTAAAATAGCTAAACAAGCAACTACTTGTTCCCATCCTTTTTCCATTAGAATAGCAATTAGCTTATTTGAATCTGTTTGTTGTTGTTGCAAATGGTATGCTAATGAATCGACACGATTCATTAACTGTTTATACGTTAAGTTTACTTGAGAAGAGAGAATAGCTAATGCA